TCTTGTGCTCTCCTCTTGGTGACGTGCTAAGCAAGAAGTCCAACCGTGCTCTCCTCTTGGAGACGTGCTAAGCAAGAAGTCCAACCGTGCTCTCCTCTTGGTGGCGTGCTAAGCAAGAAGTCCAACCGGCCTTGGGCTCCCTAAGGCGGTGTAGATAAACTTCCCGTGCTCTCCTCTTGGTGACGTGCTAAGCAAGAAGTCTAGCCGGTCTTAGTCTGTCTTGGACTTGGTGGGTTCACGATGAGGTTGGGCTCCTCAACCGGGGTTGGGCTTTAATACATAAATTGGACTACTTGGGCTTAACCCATCAACAATAATGATGGGTTATGACAGATATGTTGATCAAGTTAAGGCGATATTGTAGTGGACTTGACTACAGTACCAAAAATATTTTTTTGGTATCGTACCTCAAACTTTTACCATTTTAATGAGTGTTTTTAAAATTTTTGTGGGTCATTTTACAGCTGAAAAATTTATTACTGTTGCGAGTATTTTAAACACTTTCCTTTGGTGCAAAAAAATATATTATATTTGTAGGTGTTTTTATTATATTTGTGAGTGTTTTTATCACATTTGTGAGTGTTTTTATCATTGTTGTGATAACTTTTTTTACCATTTTTCGAAATACCATAACAATGATAAAGTAACCACAAATGTGGTAAATGAAAGTATGATGCTGTTTTTTTTTTTTTCAATACCTTAGTCAAATCCTATTGTCGTGTTTTGTAACCAACAAAAAAAAAAATGCTTTTAGTCTTAGACTTATGAATACGATGCAAATTCTCAGGTTACACAATCTTACAAAAATCCTGAGTATAGGGCAAGTTGGAGACTCAAATTTGAGAGATTGAGGAAGAGCTTTAACTAATAAAATTAGAGTCATTCTATCGAGATCTAAAAAATTGATTTAATTAGATAGCATAATGATGTGATAAGGAGCTACTAAAATATCTTTTGCCCTTTCTACAATGACTAATTTCATTAGGTTTCTTATCGGGGGCTATCCAATCAAATTCAAGACCCAGTCAATAAGCACTACATAACACTTGCAGTCTGTGGAAGATACATGCTCGGGCCGAAGTGGTATAGCAAGTGAGCAACCCAATTTCTCTTTCAGTAAATGACCAACCTTGTCTAATAACCATTTTGAGTGGGTGTATGAGATTAAACAAAAGTTACTAGATTTAATGAAAAAGTCTAATAGTTATAGTTATCACAACACTGTTGGACCAAGTCACTGCCATATCATTAAATAACTTAGATCAATTTTTTAAATCTCACTCACATTACTCATAAAATTAAGGGTGGGTTAAGGGTGGGTTATGGTCGATATGTTGATCAAGTTTATGAAATATTCCAACCAAATATAAAAGGAGAAAATGAGGTCCATGAAAGAACATCTCTTGAAACTCCGAATAATATTTTAAGTGGTAATACGGACGAGTTGTAAACTTAAACGTTCTGAATTCGAATCTTAACAACTTCTTAAGATCAGACCATGATGAGAGATTTATCCTTCATAAATACCCTAATTTCAACGTGTATGACTTACCCTCGACCATTGAAAAAAAATTTCTCTTAACTTCACATGGGCTTTCTGATGCTTTCAACAATTTGCAGACCTCACCAGTTTTTATTGACAGTGAAACAAGAAGATACATTTATGGACACAGTTGGCACCTTATGTATTTGTTTGGGCAGTAATGCATATAGCACACCTACCCTGGTAATCAATTTGATTATATAACTGGATTGAAAAATGGGTAACCATTCACCCTTTAATTTTTGCAGGTTTGGGGGTCTTACTGACAATATTATTCAATGAGATCTCGTGATCTAATAATTAGAACTAATAGTGTTGAAATTTCTTGACGAATTTTGTTATTAACACACATTCATAAAATATGTTTAATCAAGAACTATATCAAATACGCTACTTTAAGACTCGTGATTATTATGTAAATTTGAAATGTATGTCAGTACTAATGAACCAGACTTGTAGGGTGAACTAGATATCTCTTGCTATAGTCAAACTTAGAATCTCTGAGGTATTAACTAACTATCACAATCCACCAATCTAAACTACCATGGTTGTTTTGTTAATGAGTAAGTTATACACAAATAAATAGGATTGTGTGTGCCACAATTGCTATCATATATGAAAAATGGCCAATAGAGATGGCTTTGTTATTCAATCATCACTGATTTATAAGTTTTGATGGAGCTTACCAATGCTAAAAAGCACAATTTCGAGTACATTTATAACTAAATAATACACGGTAGATTTGTGATTAATGTATCCAGAACTCTAAGCACTTTATCCATGTCCGGGCACCCATTACTATCAAACAAAGCCTTACAGCATATGTGTTGGATTGTTTTTCTAAGGAGGATTGGATTGGTTTTATCATTTTTTTTTTCAAATTCAACCCTTTTTTTGTACATGGACTAGGAATAACTCGTGCCTGAAGACACGGTGTAATGTGAATAGTTTTAAAATTGGTGGCCATTAGATAAGTCTATTTGAGATTGTCGAATGAGTTCTATTGAAGTCTGCCCTGATTTATATTATAGATTAGTACACTAATTCTATTTGTATATTTGTTTGTTAAGTAGCATAAATATACGTGAGAATCACAGATTAATAACAATTATAACAAAAAATTTTATTGTAATTGACTAAATTGTTCATTGATCAATCTAATCAAATATTAATGTTTGTTTTAAATCCATAGAGGGAAGTGGTTGGGGGGGGGGGGGTTTGGGATGTGAATTGAGTAGATATAATAATTTATTAAGGATACAATGGTCAAGTCACCTATTTATCCTAAGTTGGTAGATATATGGGTTGAGTTTTAAATTTCGGACCTTAAATCCACAAATAAACATGAGTATGACTGATTCATTGGACTATTTTGGTTAAACCCCTTTTTTAACACCCCCCAAACCCAATAAATAAACAGGTCCTAAAAGGTAAGACTATCGTACCACTCCTCCATTAATCTTGATTATCAATTTTTAATTACATAATTTATTGTTACTTACTAAAAAAACTAAAAATTGTAAAATTATACACGTGACTTGATGAAAATGCAAAATATTATATTTTTCTCTTTTAATATTTAGCCTTTTATACTTATTTGATACTTAAATGTACTCCTTATTCTTATATTTTGATTTAGGATGTAAATGAATGCGTTAAATGTAAAACAAAGCTAATTTGACGATTTTAGACAGTTTCGAGGCCAAGAAAAAGGCTAACTCTCTCATCCGAGCTCCGATTGAGATGATTCAAGATCCTATAGAACGCCAAGAAAAAACTCTACAACTTTCATGTTTTGAGATATATTGACTGCACCAAGGTCAAAATCAGGCTTGAAAACACGTGCACTGTTCATGTTCTGGAATGTTCCTTAGCTCGTAATTTTGGTACTGGTTTATTTTCGAAAGCTTAAAAACCTAGGGCACAAAAATTTTAGAGGATAATAACACTTTCCTAGTTATATTAAGACTTAAAAATTTTAGTTTTAATCTTATTTAAAAGAGTCAGGCTTGGAGAGATTTTTCTAGGGAGAAGAGGGATACACGAGTAAAGGGGGGAAACGAAGAAAAAAATCAGCAGACTTGGCATGTGGCTATACCCCATTCTTTTCGGACTCTTCTTTCTAGTTTTCATGATGGGCCTGCGTGGCTAAACTTTGATACTTAGTCGAAGGAAACAGAAGCCTCGGAATCAATAAAATTGTGAGATCTAATTTGTTTTTATTATTCAATTTATGAGTTGAGTATCATATGTTTTGTTGTGCCTATTTTCATGATTGTCTTGTTTAATTATTAGGAGGTCTACTAATTTATTATTCGTTGCAATCTACTGCTAGATTAGATATCAAATCCGTAATTGTTTGATCATTCTAATTTGTGAAAAAATTAAGATTAAATGATTAACTGCGTCAGAAATTATTAGGTCTTAGGAAAAATACTCGACTAAATTAAATGCAACTGCTTGTGCATGTATTGTTTAGTTTCATCGATCTTTCTAATTTTTAAGGCTGTTACTAGATTAAACATTTGGTACTTGTCTTGGGTTGTTTAGTAGTTAACATTAATTAGATTGTTTTCTAATTAACTGCAACTACGGAGAGATTGAAAGATAGTTTCAACAGTGAATTTTCAGATAGTGAATTGATATATACTTGCATCAATGATTAGTTGTAAAAATCTTATGGTGAATGTTGACTTAGATCAAAGTTTTTTTTTGATTGATTTCGATACTTTAATTTGAATTGTTTCTTAGTTGTTTTTGTTAAAATTGTTTTCGTTAAACTCGAACCCCCTCAATTCTTGTTCACGTGGCATAAAATTAGGCTAGATACTCTCCGTGAGAATGATTTTTACTCGCACTACTACATGTATTTTTTTAGAAATATAAATTTTATTTTTGGTTGCATGCGACAATATACCAAATTTTGTTAAACCCTTTTTTTCACAACCCCAAACCCATAAATAAACAGGTTCTAAAAGATAAGACTACCGTACCACTCCTCCGTTAATCTCGTTTATCAATTTTTAATTAAATAATTTATTTTTATTTATTAAAAATAAAAAATTGTAAAATTATACACGTGAGTCATTTTTATTGGGCCAAAAATGAAAGTACTATACCAACAATGTGCTTTTTGGTACCAACCAAACAATGAGACACTAAAGTAAAAGGGGTGTCAGGCTAAAAGTGAATGGATAGCTTCTGTACTTAATGGGCCGTCTACTTTGGTCTTTTTCAATACTTTCCAGCCCAAAACAATTGCTCGGCTCGAATCAAATTTTCAGTCCACTAAGAAAACCCACATGTACTTCGCCGAGTACATCGTTTTCATTCGAATTCTAGGTTTAGGGTTTGCGCTTCGCTTCTCAGGTTTTAGGGTTTGCGTCTCCTATCTCTCTCTCTCTCCACAGCGACATAGACATAGAGAGTTTGACTGTAACAGGCAAATAGGTAAACCATGAGGAAGCTAAAATATCACGAGAAGAAGCTACTAAAGAAGGTGAATTTCCTGGAATGGAAAAGAGAAGGTGGTCATAGGGAAGCTGATGTAATGCGTCGCTACCACGTCACCGGAAGAGACGACTATAAAAAGTACCCGCCATCTCTCTCTCTCTCTATACACACACACATTTACATACACCACACACGTTCTGTAATTTTGGATTCTAAATTTGCTACGGTATGGTGTAGATAGGTGTAATTGTGCAGCAATTAGTTCTTAAAATTTAATAATGTTTTAGCTGTGGTTTTCTTAAATCTCATTTTGTCTTTTGGGGTGGGGGTGGAAAGGTATTCGGGTTTGTGTAGAATGGTGCAGAAGCTAGTGAACATACTCAAGCAGATGGACCCAAGAGACCCATTTCGAATTGAGATGACCGATGCTCTCCTCGAAAAGCTGTGAGCTTGTTTACTTTCTATTGATGATTAACAAATTTTTTTGTTTATCCTTATTTGGAAATTTGGAATTGCCGTTTATTTTTTATTTGGGTGTTGTTTCTCATTCGTTACCATTGTTTCAAGATTTTTATTTGCGCCTATACAAAAAAATATAAGAAAGTATAATTTTAGTGTTTTATTAGGAGACATTATTTGAGAAACTCATGTGATTGTAACTGGTTTTAGGGCGAGAATGTGAGCCACTGCCTTTGTAGCCATTCTTGGTGTTTGTTCTTTGTATCTTATATTGATTTTGTGCTCTGATTATTCCGGCTAAAGCTCTGGTTTGTTGGGCTTCTGGCAGCAGAGGCACTTGTCCTCTGTGAGGTGAAAATAATCTAGCATATTTCAGCATCACAGATAATCTCAACCAGTTCACATTTTTTCCCAAGATAGTAGTAACAAGAATCTTCAGCCAAAAGAAGTCCAATTGAGATTCGCCAGTGGATGTACAACATAAAAGGATCTACTTAGACCGACGTTTTCAGTTTTGGCTGATAGGAGAACAAGTAGACAAGACAGTATTTCTTTCGTAAAGAGTTGTCCTTAGTTCTAGTGGTTTGTCTGAAAGCCAGCTCTGGGGATTGATCCTAGTAGATTGCCGGTTTGTGTGGGAGGGGGATTGCACTTGTTCAGTAGGATTGATAGGATGCTTCAAGAATCCTGATTCTTTCTGGATTGTGTACTATAGTATACAATGTAACTTTTAATCATGTTGCCTTGGCTCGTTTGTTGCAATTGCCTTGGTTTGTGGATTGTGCATTATAATATAAGCTAGAATTGTGGCTTTTAACATGTTAACTGAAATAGGATATATCTTTTTGAATACATTTTGAAGTTGGTAAATTCAAAAATTGCCCATTTCCTGAAAACATCAGAAGAAAGTTTTCATTTTCTTATGTTTCCTAGACGACAAAAAATTCCCTTAGGAAACATTTTAAGAGAACTCCTTTATGGAGGCTGAAGCAAATAAGTTAATGTTCAAATTTATGCACTTTGAAATTCCCTTGTCCTTATTTCCTGACTTTTTTTGGCACATAATTGAAGACTATATTTTAATAAATTGAGACATGTCAATGCAGGTACAACATGGGTGTCATACCCTCTAGGAAGAGTTTAGCGTTGTGTGATCGCTTATCTGTGTCATCCTTCTGTCGGTATGTGAGCTGCATATGCCATCATAGGGCAGTAAGATGATGAAGATTTCTTAACCTGATTTTTTTTGGCTGCTCTTCATAGCGCTTCTGCTTGCCTTATGTGGTTTGAACTTTTAATGATGGTGCTATATAGTTATACTACTAAAAAAGCAAATAATTGTGCTATTCAAACATCTAAAAAAATAAAAAAGCAAATAATTGTGCTATATGAACCCAACCTTTTTTGTGCTGTCCCAGTTGATGTGTTCCTACATTATTTTTATTACATGAATATTTTCTTCATCTGCAGGCGTAGGCTCTCGACTGTTTTGGTGCGACTAAAGTTTGCTGAACATTTAAAAGAGGCTGTCACCTATATAGAGCAGGGGCATATCCGAGTCGGTCCAGAAACAGTTAGTGACCCAGCATTTCTTGTAACAAGAAATATGGAAGACTTTGTCACATGGGTAGACACATCTAAGATAAAGAGAAAGGTCCTGGAGTACAACGAGAAGTTAGATGATTACGATGCTATGAACTGAGTATTTCTAAGCATACCCCCAAGGTTAAAGATCGGCTTTTTAGAAGGAGCAATATAGTGCGATTTTTTGATTTGGTTATCGTTCCTGCTTGAAAGTGAGTTTATTTTTGATGTACCGTATTGATATCTGAATTGGTAAGTGATATTGTACCGAAAAAAAGGGAATTGATAAGCAATATGATATGTGAATGCTTGTCAAACGCTATAATTGGGATGGTAACAGATTACAAGATTTCTCTTCATTCCGGGTGTGTCATTCTCTGTTTTGTAGACACAATAGCCAGAATTCGAAACACCTGGGGTAATGAAAGCTGAAGATCCGTTTGGTACAATCAAAATATAGAAGGATAAAAAGTTAAGAGGGATAGATAAAACTAGGGATTTTTATCTTACTCTACGGATAAAAAATATGGTTTTTTATCTTCTTATTTGATATTTTGTAGAAGAATATTTTCTTGACTTATTTTACGCGATTAAGTGTACTATTTTTACTCGAATTTCTTCTAAATTAATTGGATAGAAAATTGGGTGAACATGTTTTGTAGTTATTAAACTCATAAAGTGAAATAGAAGACTCTTCTATTAGTTCATTTTCTGACGAAGATCTTAATATTAATGAAATTAGTAATACATCTTTAGATTTTGAAAATGTCAAACAAGATAAAACTTGTACTTCACATTGTAAAGCAGAAAATGATTTTTATAAAGTTGTTTTAGCTATGAATGGATTGAGTATAAATATTTTGATTAAATCATAAACATTTATTCTTGATTTTATAGATAAAATTTAAGATCTAGATTTTAAAAGAAAAACTATTAAACAATATTTAAAGATAAATTCAGAAGAAAAAAAACCTTATTTGTCTCAACCGTATTCTTTAAATGAAGTATTTAATAGAACTGAAAGTAACATGAGTGATAATCCACTCCATATAAAAGAAATTTTGTATGCTACGGTTTAAGATTTAAAGAAAGAAATTCATAATGTCAAAGAAGACACAAAAATTATAAAGGCTAAACTCTTATGTTACGTTTGGTAACGGTTCGGTTTTCAATTTTTCCCTTTATATTTTCAATTTTTTACAAAACTTGAAATTTAAACTCGTTTGATAACCGTTTTATTTTATTTTTTTTAACTAAAACCATTTTCAAATTTGCCTCAAATTTTAGAAACCAGAAAAAAGTCGTTTTCAAAAAAAAAAAAACCAAAAACTCACGGATGACATTTAACCATCGACTCTTATTAACAACAAATTATGCCCCCTACCAAAAATCTCTCAAACAAAAATATTTAAACCGTCAAACTCTCTTTCATCTCATCGTTTCTCTCATTCTATTCGTTCAACAGAGGAGTTTCTGGCGTTCCAGCAGAGGTGTTCCAACAGCTTCGTTCCAGGTGATCCAAAAGCTTCGGCGTTCAACAGCTTCGTCTCTCTCATCTTCACCTAGGTCGTTCATAACAGCTTCGTCTCTCTTAGCAAGGTAAGTCCTTAGATCTAGGGTTTTCAGTAGCTAGATTCCTTAGATGTAGGTTGTTTCTTTGTGCTATATTCATTTATTAGATCTGTATATCTATAGTTTTCTACTTCTAGTCTCCCCTAAGAGATGCGATTTATTTATGGTGCTTGATTGAAGTTGTTGAAGCCCCCTGTACTGATTTGTGTCAACGAATTGAATGCTTCTATTTGCTGGGATTTTTTTTCTTGGTTGATTTGGTAAATTATTTGCTTTGTTGTTGATTCTTTTTCGTGTGGCTTGCTGGATTTCCTTGTGACTCCATCGCCTCTTGTAGTTTGTTGCTTAATGGTGTGCTGAATGTGGAAATTGTGGTTCACTAAAAATTTCTCTTGTTTTGTTAAGGAATGGCTTCTTTGTTGTGGGCCTGTAGTAATTTTTTGTGTGATATATCTTCTTTGTTGTGGGCCTGTACAATGAAAATAATAACATCTTTATGCCTACCAAACATGCCCTAATACATACATACATACATAGATATGTATACACTTATTAGGCAATATGGTTGACAACATACAACTTTTCTACAATATTAGACTGCAAAAAATCCTATGCCTCTTATAACCCATTGTTTATTTCAAAATACAGAGACAATGAAATTATCTCCTATATATACTTAGACATTCACACTAAGGTTGAAATTCCTTTCTTCTTCTTCTACACAGTCTACAACATGATTAGCTGTTGTTAGGAGGATATTTGGAGCTTTCCCCATTATGTTGCTATTATTGAAGCATGAAGTAAAACCAGTTAATGTTGAGATAAATTATAAAACTATAAAACCACTGGTGTGGTGATACTCTTTTAGTTGGTTAGTCAATGTTACCTAGCAACATATATCGTTAAAAAAAAAAACAAGAAAGAAAGAAAGTTTCCATAAAAATGATGCACGTATTGGTTTTGTACATATAATATATTCCTAAATTTATCAGGTTATTTTTCGTGAACGATTAAAAAGTTATTATGATCAAAATGGTCAGCCTTATATTGCGATCATTTTTCTCTCATAAATTTGATCTTAATCTAATTGATTGTCACATTTTTCAAAAGCATGAATTGACAAATTTAACATATAGTTGGAGTATTCATAGCCGGTAATAGTATAAAAAAGAGATTTCTGCAGTACCACCATATGGTCATGTTAGTGGATAACTTTAGATCATGTCATTCTATGTGTATACACTAGGAATAACCCGTGGTGCAATGTGTATTAATATTGATATGTAGTTTACATTCATTGCAAATATGGAACTCATTAACTATAATAAAGTGTAAATAAAGATGTCCATAAGTTTAAAAAAATTATTAAATCTGGTTTTTGTGTGAGGCTGTGAGCCATTCTATTGCTTTACATTTTTTTTTCACATTATATTATGGATTAGATCCATGGGTTAGAATTTATTGTCTTTGAATTTTCCATTGAATTTATTGTCCCTGCACTAAAAATCTTTGATTTCATCAATTTTTTTCATACAGATGATGTTACTGGAATGTGTGGTTGTAGATGACAAATACCAATGTAAGCAACGTAGGTAGTGACGAAGTGGTTGAGGTTCAATCCATCAAATCTGATACTCCCTGGCCTGCTAAGAGTGAGACAATTTTTATAGATTTAATGGATGAGCAGATTGCAAAAGGAATAGAGGTACTACTACATTCAAAAGAGAAACGTGGAACTACATTCTTGAGGAACTGAAAAGTCGAACTGGGTATTCATATAACCATGAGCAACTTAAGAATAAGTTTAATCAGTTGAGGCGAGTATGGAGTGATTTCCACAAACTGGTTAATGAAACTACGGGAGTTGGTTGGGATCCAGAGAAAGGGACAATGACTCTGCCAGACGGTGTGTGGAAAAATTTGTTCAAGGTATAAATTTTTATTGTGTTGAAATGTGATATGATTTTCATTAAATGGTCATTACTAGAATGTGTGTTTTAATAATCCTATGTTGTTAGGTCAATAAGAATGCCAGAATATTCAAGAAAAAATGTTGTCCACATTATGAAGCATTGTGTAGAATCTATGGTGGCACAACGACAACTGGTAAACATGCTTACCCTTCAACCAAGCCTCCCTCTAATGATGAACATGATCTCAATTATGACCCAAAAGATGATGAGGAATATGGAAATGCCGATAATAATGTGGATGATAATCCAACTATTACCAATCGTAATCGAAGCCGCTCTATCACTCCTAATTGTAGTCGGCGTACAAAGAAATATTCTTGTACTCGTGCCCTTACCAATGCACTAACCATGTTAGCTGAATCTGCAAAGGTAAGGTCGGAGTTCTATGAGAAAAGAATGACAAGTGTTGGTTCGTCATTGACTTGTGCAGACTCTATGGTTGATTCGGTGACTATGATTGACCTACATCCAGACTTGTTGAAAGACTGCATCGATACTTTGAACTCTCTCGAGGACATTGATGATGCGACTTATACAAAAGCTTTAAAATTGATGCGTGATGATGCGGTGTGGCGGAAAGTGTTCTTGAAGTTGCCTGATCATCGGAAGAGGGGTGTAGTCATGAATCTGTGATGTGTTAGGTCATGACTGTATTTTTTATGATGACTGTAAACCATGTTTTGTACCTTTAACAGACTACTTTTAACTCTGGTTATTGGGCAATGTGTTTTTTTTTTTTTGTGATGACTTCAATGTTTTGTGGAATAGTATATCGTTGGTTTGATTTAATCATTATTTGTTGTTATTGTATTAAGTACTTTATGGATATGATGAACTTGATGATGTCATTCAATTGATTGAGGAGGACGAGGAGTATGAGACAGTTATGTGTTTAATATTATTACTTGTAGAGGAACTTGATAGAATTTTTGATTAAAAACCATGTAGAACATGTATACTTAAAGGTCATGACTATGTTTTAGAAATATTGCATGGACATGAGGACAGGTGCTATGATCAGTTTCGGATGGACCCCCCATGTGTTTATTTTGTTTTGTGAAGAACTAAAAGTAAGGGAAATTTGACAAACTCTAGGTATGTGACAGTTCAAGAACAAGTAGCTATTTTTATACTGATTATATCTCACAATGAGAGAGTCCGTTTGGTAGCAGAGAGATTCCAACATTCAGGTCACACTATTTTCACATACTTTCATCGAGTCTTGAAAGCAGTATGTTGACTTGGAGTGCACATTATCAGACCTCTTGATTTTCATATCGTTCCACCTCAGATTCAACACAATCCTAATTACTATCCATTCTTTAAGATAATGTATCTTCTATTTTTTATTATTTATTATACACATCATTATGTATATTAATATTCTATTATGTTTTAGAATTGTATCGATGCTATAGATGGAACTCATGTTGACACACGTGTACTAGTGAGTAAGCAAATCCCATAACATGGTAAGAAAGTTGAACCAACACAAAATGTCATGTGTGCATGTTCGTTTGACATGCGATTCACATTCGTTATGAGTGGTTGGAAAGGAATTGCTAATGACTCGAAAGTATTTATTGAGTCCATTAACAATTCAGAAAACAATTTCCCAATGCCTGAAGGAGGTAATATTCTTCATTGTAACCTTTCTATCCATTCATAGAATTTATAACTTATCACTTACTATACATGTGTACCATTTGCCAGATAAGTATTATGTTGTTGATGCTGGATATACAAACATGTCTGAGTTTTTTGTCACCGTATCGTGGTGAGAGATATAATTTACGTGACTATAGAAGTAGTGGTCGACGTCCAAGGAGTAAGATAGAGCTATTCAATTATCGTCACTCATCATTTCGAAATGTCATTGAGCGTTGCTTTGGAGTGCTAAAGGCTCAGTTTCTCATTCTCAAACAAATGCCCCCTTACCCTATAAGAACACAAAAATACATTCCAACAGCTTGTTGTACAGTTCACAATTTCATTAGAATGCATGCTGCTCAAGATCAATTATTTGATGAGTTTAGTAATGAAGAAAGGATGGATGATAATGTAGGATCGACTTTACAGAACCCGATTGAAGTAGATATCAGTCAAACTCAGATTCGACAAATGGCTCGTGTGCAAGATTGCATTGCCAATGAGTTGTGGGCAAGTGTTGGACATTGAAACATATGATTTTTGGTGTACATGGATTGTTATATTGGATGTCTGTAAATTATGGGATATATTTGTAGTATGGATATTTATGAATTATGTTATGTCTTAATATGTTATCTTTATATTCTGTTATTTTTACAGTTAAACTAGCATGGAAGTGTATGGTGTAAATAAGTTGTTCATAAAATAATTTAGAAATGTTTATCCAACAAGTTTTTTGTTTCTGTTTTCTTTTTTTTTATAACATAAAATATAAGCCAAACAGGTTTTTAGTTTTCATTTTTTCTAAACTGAAAACCAAAAATCATTTCAGTTTTTATTTTTTAATAAAACTGAACCGAAAACGTTACCAAACGCAACCTTAGCTTTAGAAAAATTGCCACTTAAAAAAAGTGACATAAAGGATGACAAAACATCACCATCTAATTCTTCAAATAATAAATACTTAAATGTATTATAAAAAATAACTTATCAGAAATGGTATGTTAAAACCATATTAGTTATAAATTCTGAATTTACTGTCGAAACTATTGTTTTAATTGACAGTGGAGCAGATATGAATTGCATAAAAACAAAATTAATTCTAACTAAATATTTTGAGAAAATTACTCAGTCAGTAAGCACTGTTGATGGTTTAAAATTAAATATAAATTTTAAACTCTCTAATATTTTTGTATGTAATCAAGGAATTTGTATTCATATAACTTTTATGTTTATTGATAATTTAAATTAGTTGGTGATTTTGGGAACACTATTTTTATCTATAATCGAACCTATAGAAAGAATTGATTCTAAATGAATTTTGACTACCATAAATGGTCAGCAAATATTATTTGAGTTTGTAACTTCACCTCAAATAAAATTGATAAATCAAATAAAAGAAAATCTAATTTATAAAAAAAAACACATAAATTTCTCATCAACTTCTAACATATTAGGAATTGATGTTTATTTTGCAGGAAAAGTTGAAGAAGTTCCAGAAATGAGTCATAGCTCAAATTCATTTTCTTTGGACTTTATTGCCAAATTTCTAGATCTTCTTGACTGCATTTGTGATTATGCAGGTGAAGATATTTTTAGCTTTGCCTCTACTTGGCGTAATAATTATTGCAAAGTTTCACTTTGATGTCTCTATTGCAATGATATGAAAGATCAACTAATTAATCACGTACCTATTTTTTTTGTTAAGAATTGCAAGAGTCCAAACTAAATCTTTAAAATTTTATCTTATACTTGAACTTATGACTAGTATTATGATTAGAAATATAAGCAATTGATGGAGAATATTGTCGAAAGATTTTGTCAAGATATAATAAATACACTTAGTGGTATAATGATTAGAATCCAAGTCTTTGCATATAAAAATGCATACTATTCTGATAAATATAAAAATACTTTTTATGCGTATAAAAGTGCATATTATTTTAATCCATATAAGGATGCATATTATTTTAATGCATATAAAAATATTTATTATCCTCTACTCATTATAAAGAGATTATCACATAAAGGTGATATTAATATTAATCCGTCAAAACAACTTAAAGTTATTGAAACATTCTTGTCAGATAAAGTTGACAATAAAAAAAATTTGTCTGAAGATAAATTTCTCTCTATACTTCCTAGATCTTTGATTTTGTCTCCATACATGGAGCTCAATTTTACATTTTTTTCTAATTTTATTAAAAGAATATATTCTTATGATAATTATGATCCCAAACTAATCAAGGACTATCAAGTTAGTTATTGAAATAATTATCCCACTAACTCTAAATGTCAGATTATTTTGATGTCTTAAAGACGTAGATAAAGAAGAAGATAAAACTTCAACTTCTATAGACGTTGTTTCCATTACTAGTATAAATACTGTGATTAATTTCAATCCTGTTGAAGTTCTTAAAGAACTAATTAAAAAGATAAAAACCTTATTTAAATTCAGAGCAACTTAAAACATCAATTATGGAGGAATTCCATCTTCAGATTATATTTACATTTGGCATAAGCAAAACCAAAAAGATGGATCGCGTTAATACTCTTTCAATTGCCATAAAAGACAAAGAGAAAGAATATAAGAAATTTCTCACTCGTATTAATTCTGATGACGATTTTATGGATTCTCATGATATACTCTTCTTAAAATTGACATTACTATTAATAAATATTTGCTAAATGATGATATGGAAATAAACATTCATGATGACAATGATAATATGTTGTGTAATTTATTTTACAAGAAATAATCAGATAAAATTAATTTTTGAGATAAAGCCGAGCCGGAAGAAATGACGCACGCCCTGATGTCACTTTAGGAAGAAGTGATGCACGTCCTGACGTCACTATAAAGACTGTGAATAGTATACAATAAAAAATATACAATATTTATGACGTATGCAATGATATCATTATAAATTATTAAAATTGTGAACAATATAAAGTTATGAATAATATAAGATAGTTTTGAAATCCAGATTTCATGTTCAGCTTCTATATAAAAAAGTACAGGCCCGACCTGTAGAGTACTGCCTCCCAAACAGCCCCCTCATCCCTTTCACCTACTCTTTCCTCTCTTCCTTGCACCCTCTATGAACCCTCTTCTCTTGTTAAAACCTCCACTTTTCACCTTCCACTATTACTGTAAGTGTGTCTTGTACGTAAAATTTGTATTAAATAAAAACTTTCAATTATTTATCTATAGATCATTTGATATATATATCATATTTATCAATTAAATATTATATATTTATATTTTTCATCTTTCTATTTTTTCATTAATGCTAAGCACAAAAAAATTAATCATTATTACTTTCAATCTATCCTACCAAACATAGAGAAAAGATTATATCATTTCTACTTTCCTTTCTTAGAAGATAGAAAATAAAACTTTTTTTTTTTTTTATCTTTTCAACTAAACGGAGCATTAAACTCGGTGCAACAACACCAAAGCCATTTTAGAAAGACTTTCATTAACTTAGTACCATGTTACAACACACCTACCAGGATAAGTTTCAAAGGTGGAGCTGGGAAACTAACCTTCCTTCATCTTCTACGAGAATCGAACAAACATCATTTTTTATACAACAGCATGCGACATTTTTGATACAACAACACACAACTCATTTGCAAAAACACCATATAACCAACCAATCGCCTCAAAAATATTGTCCTGATGATCTAAAATCCTCGGCTTTTTCCTGCATTAATTGCATCATTCACGAAGTCCTCACACCGTGAATAGCCACCGGAGAGCACATCGGGCAAAACACCAATGACATCAAATGCCTCCTGGAAATCAGTAGCGGAAGTCATGTCTTCGAGCCACGACAGCAACTCCTTGGAGAACCCAACCATTTCCTTCGCATTTAAAAGCTTCTCTTTCATCACCACCTCCCAAATTTCCAAGCTTCCACTCTCATCTTCCCCCTCTAGCTCCTTCGGGCTTCCTTCTGCAGGATTGGAGGCTCCATTTGCTGACTTTTTAACTTTCAAAAAACGCTGCAGCTGCTCGATCAAGCCAGTGTAAACAAGCATCTGTAGAATCGTGGATGATAGCTCGTCTGTGCCACCAGTTTCTGTTGTGAAGCTTCCACTGGTACTTCCAGAATCGGATCTAACAACATTCGTTGGATTGGATGATGAGCGGTGTGGCGACCGGCCATGAGGGCGCTGCATGTATGCATGGTATATTGCACGCTGCAAGAAGGCACGACGATGTTGCAACCATGCCTCGTAAGATTCTGAGAGAAGTGAGGTCACCATCATGAATTGGACTGTTTCTTCAGTTCCAACAGAAGGTTGTGTTCCAGAAGAAATGAAGGGTTTGGAATCCAATGTGGAAGAGGCTAAATATGTTGTAATAGACTTGGCCATGATACGCCGCTGGGAGGTGTCAAAATCAAGTAGATGACGAGCCATCTGAATCATGAAAGGAAGGAACCGAGAGTTGCTTTCCTTTCCCCCACCTCTGCTGTCCGCACTAAATGATGCACCAGTAGCAAATCGAGCAAGCATCTGAAACACAATGCACAACAATCAGAAGCAAGAATTATCACCATCTCCATAGTGAATTGCACTTTATTCAGTGGCACAATCATAACTAATACTATTCATAAGAATGTTTCTTTGTCTCGAGAGTTTCCACTTGAGCGCCTCCTGCACAGTGGAGCAGACTAGTACCAGGCAAATTGATGCAATAATTCAGAACCAGATTGACGGAAATAATTATTCTAGAATTTTCTCCGAAGATTATATACACAATCAAACATGGTTCATGAAAATTTGGTCACCTTAGGATTCTTTCAAATGGAGAGCTTCAGAGGGTAGAAAAAAATACAACAATCATTTTGTTTTTTTACTGAAGCTGGTAATAGGTACTGTGTGCATTAAATGATTGACAAGCATGTGTAAATGGGAACACAAGCATATGCACAACAGGACATTTGTATGAGCGCTCAAATAGGCCAAAAAAAAAAAGGAAAAACTAAATAGCAAAAGCATAGAAAAACAAATGAAGATAATTACGTACCAGAACAATGTCATACGTCAGCAACCGTAACCGGCTTCCATCAGCACGTCCAAGAGCGTTGAGGTAATCCCAGTACTGGTCAATATAGCGTATATATTGTGCCATTGGAACTGATGGACCCTTCAGGGGAAATAAATTGTTGCAGAGGGTCTCATTGTTTCTTAGGGCTGCACCATCCCATTCCTTTTTGGGGTTCTTCAGCGCAGCGTCTGCTCTTTTAGCTTCTTGATGGCACTGGAAATGTATGATGTTGAAGTGACTAACTGTTGTGTATACACAGTCCCCACGACCACTTCCTGAAGTTCCAACACCCATATTCACACGCTTACTGTAAGTGTAAACACCCAGCAAGTCGGTAGGTCTCAATTTGTAGCCCTCTCGGCAGACCATGCAAGCTAGCTCCCCATCCTCCTCCTCCATTTCATCCAAGCCTTCAAGAAGTGGCTGAGCAACAACAATTCGTTCACCACCATCTGGAGCCGGTTCCCATTTCATACCAAGTCCCTGTCATCACAAAATTTTGGACATCAGATGTAGATTTGGAATCAGCAGTTTGTGCATGGTATAACTATAACCAGCGAGGGCAAGCGAAAAGGAAGGACAGAAAAAAGAGGAAAGAGAGAGAGATTCATTCTAGGCATCTAGCCACATTTAGAAAATTTTGTAGGCATGTAGCCTCTAGGATCATTAAAAAATAAGTTTGCCCTATTTGCCTACAGAGATGACAAAAATGGTAGCGCCCAGATTTACCGGCATAAGTATGCTATAAAATGACTCTCTCACGAAGCTCTACTTGTATAGTCTGCTTCTTTAAACAAAAATTAATGATACCACATTTTACAGATCTATCATGTTATACTGTGCAAAGCATTCAGAGTTGTAAGGAAAAAAATTGCAGACCACATTTTAAATTGAAGAACTGTTTCCCGTTATTTTGAGAAAAATTCAAGAACTCGAAAAACAAGTACCTGAAGCAACTCCTCTCTCTTTCTTAGTGCTCGACGTCTCTTCTCATCGCGAGTGGCATGCCGCAAGTTGCAAACTTTCTCTGTCAGGAAGCCATCACCTTTTCCCTCCTTATCAGAGAGTGTGTCCAATAAATTTTCAGCCCTCACCCCAATCTCATTTTCTCCCAAAACTCCCTCCAATGCATGGAGCAATGATAAGATCCCTCCTTCGTCAATACACCTTTGAGTGGCCGAATGCCCCATTGACAACCCCCTGAGCATAGACAGTATTAGTGGAACAGATGGAAGTTTTAAACCCGATGCCCAATCTGCACTTGATTTAAAGCCAGTGTGCCCCATAAATGCAAAACTTTCCTTCAGATATCTGACTGCAACTGTAACAATTCCTTTTTCCAATATAATGTCCTTCAATCTCTCCCCACAAGAACTTGTCTTCAGTGACTCCGAAACTCTAACAAAGTTCTCCATAGCAAACCTCTGTTTGGCAGCATGCTGAGCAATGGTTTCATCTTTTGGATTGTCTTGATGCTCTTTCTGCAGCTGGTCAAATTCACCCCAGTTCTGTAAGTAAGGGTCAAAATGCTGGATGAGTGATTCCATTGCTGCAGGTTCACCATAGGTCAAGGCAGGCAAAATTCTTGCAACCATCTCAGTGTTTCTCTGCTGTTTATTTGACTTCTTCAGACCTGAAGGATGGCACAATCTTTCCAGGAACATCAGAACTATTTTCTTGGCCTGTTCACCTGCACCAGTTTCTTCGGTAGCAACTGTAAGAGCACTCTGTGTAATGCTAATAGTATTTGTTTCATTAGCTTCCAATGTCAGGCTCTCCACAATCAAAAGAATGCCTTCAGCTGGCTCCATGGCATCCACGGAAAAAGCACGCCTTGCCGTTTCGAGGAGTATACCTAAAGCTCCTAATCCTAATAAGGCCCTTCTGTTTTCTCTAATCTTACAGCAGTGCATGAGGAGATTAAGCACTGCAACCAACTGTTCTTGGTTAGACTTCAGATCATCTCGCAAACGCTGCAGAGGTGGAACCAGTGTCAGATGCACATAATTAGAGTGGGAACACCAGATAAGTTGATATTTCATCACATGCATATGGTTTAAAGAACCAGATTTGTAACAAGACTATCAGAGGAATGGGTACAGAATTACCCACGTGTACATTCACCATCTGCATATCCAAGACACCACCAAATAGATGGTAAGAGGTCATCTGGAGCAAAACAGAACCACGCAGTGTTCCCCCGTCAAGTTATATGAGCCTTGTTGGCTCATTGCAAATTAGTTTTGGGTTGGATATTGGGTTTTAAGTAAAAAACTGCGGTTTGAAAAGTTTTGCAAAAAAGTCAAAGTTAAAAAAGTCCTCCAAAACCGTTTGAAGTGTTCTTTAAAAAGTTGAAAAAATCCGTTTGGAGTGACTTTCAAACTTTTTTGTGTCAAAATAAAAAAATAATTACATGCATGTATAGATTATGCATAATAGTTCACAAAATATGAATTTCAAAATTTTTTACGTCACTAATAATATTTTATGAATATCAAAAATTAAAAAGTTATGTGGGACCTGCGATAAAACTCCAAAAAAATCAGAAGAAAAGCTCATAAAATCAACTTCTTGAATCATCTTAAATAAGCATTTTTTGTCCAAAAAACTACTACATAAGCTAGTAAGAGCCAAGGTCCAAACGGATCTGACTTATTTTACTCCAAATCTCTTAAAACTTAAAAGCTAACTCCAAACTGGCCTATTGTAACATGATATCTGAGTTGGACTTGGGAGGGTTCGGGCAACACACGAATTTATGCATTTGGTGACTAATTCCCCTATTGTTTGTGCAATAGATGCACTTGTTATATCTCTGAATATGCATTTTAATATTTTGTTTACCTGTCCACGTGCAAGTAGGGTCCCACATCCCATATTGATGAAATAATCTCCCCAAAAAAAAATTAACAACCTAGTATATGAACCTTGTGGGCCTCTCTACTTATAGTAACATTCAGAGCACTGGGATAGTTCAATACTTGTATCAAAAATAACTTTCAAAGAAAATCAAGATCTTCTTATTAGAAAGAGAGAACCATATGTCTAAATTTCAATTCAAGTTTTACACTTGGAGAACTCTCCAAAACAACCCAACTTTAACTGCAAAGTACAGCCTAGTAGCCCACTTGATCATAAAAATATGTATTACCTACTTAAACCCTGAACGAAAAGGAACTCTAGCTATAAACTTTGGTAGCATGTTTTTACAAAATGAAAAGCACAACAGTACGTTTCATGGTAATTCTGTTAGTTATATTTTCTTCATACGACAGATAACTGTAATATTTTCTCTGAAACACATCCATTTGGAAGATTGAATTAGATACTTACAGGAACAGGACTTCTGTTACAATTCTAATATTTAGATCATTCAGTAGCCTCTTTCAAGATCTTTTTTTATATAGTCAATCCCTTGACTTGAAACTCCAGAGCTCAAAAGAAAAACTCAAATTATACTAAGATATGCATCTACTCATACCATTAAGACATTTCTAGAAATTATACAATGTCTCACACACCTGAATCATGCCCAAAAGAATTTCTAGTCCACCACACTCCTGGACTGCACCTGCTATTGCAAACTCAACCTCAGGATCTTGAGATTCCTCTCTATCCTCATCCAATTCTTTGATCATGGGCTCAGTCGCTTCACCATCTAACCCCTGCCAAATTGTAAAACAACTCATATGTTAATGTGAGCAACCAAATAACAACATACTTCCTGAACTTTGGTCTTTCAATGTAATCCGTACAATGATAAGCAAAACACAAACAATATGTAAGAGATAAAATGGATTGTTAAAGAAAAGATTTAAGTATTTAACCATCCCATGCATGAATTTAACTTTGACATGCACCTCTTAAATTAACCAAAAAAAGCAACTACAATACTACATTCAAGTATGTTGTAGCAAATACCTTATATTTGAAAAAATCCCAAGAAATGATACCCAAAGAGTCACCTTGAATATGCAAATCACGTGGAACATATGGAACGAAAAGAAAAATTTGCACATCAAGTAGGAACATATTTACTTAAAAAACGAACTTAGTAGAAACAAACCTGAAGCCGGTAGGTTACTGCCATTGGAGGACAATCTCGGGTTGACGTGACAGCATTGGACGATAGCAAGGTACCACCAGCTACTGTGTTTGACGAATGACTGACTGACTTTTTCCAAACTTGTTCATAAACTTGAGCAATGCTCAAATCGAGAGAGATAATATTTCCAGCTACTAGCAATTCCATCCCATAGTCATCTTCAACGAGACCCAATAGATCCAACTGGTGGCAGATTTTGTTTTTCACATCACGCATCAATGGGCCAATCTCGGCACTGGAATAAGGATTCTTGGTCATTGATCCCCTGATGAACTCCTCCTGAGTGTGTGCCTTGTTCAGAATCAAATAATATACAGTTTCTGGTTTTGATGGGCAGATCAGATTGCAAAGCTGCTCCAAGATAAACTGCACACACAGCAGAAGTTCGAGACAGTAACCATTCAGATCAAATATACAACAAGAATTCCCTATAAGCAAAAAATGTACCAAATAATAGGACTCCAAGAAAAAAGAAATCCATGATAAGAGTGATGATAATGCATTCACAAGTATTTCATATTTTTTTTACCTTCAAAGAAAGAAGCATGATTTTAAACTGTAGGAAGACAACCCCTGGGGGCGCATGACCAAGAATGGGAAAAAAGAAGATATAAGAACACAAACACACAAGACAGAAAAATCTCCTACATACCAAAGAAGTCCGTCCTTTCCTCTCCTGTCCATGGATTTGCAGACCAGAGATGCAAGCCTGGATGAACTGACGCTTGTTTTCACTGCTCTCAAGAAGAAGACTGTCTAGGAGGTCTTTCAGAAGTCGATTACAATCACTTATTAACTTGGTCTTCTGCACTATCAAACCCCTAATGACAATAAGGGCCTCAAGGACTTCAGACAGTAACTGTTCTCTCATGAACCTGGCACCAAGATCAAACTATAAGGAAGATAAAAAAAACAAACCAGGTTTTTTTTTTGGTCACTAAATCATACCAGTTTACTACATAACAAAACAGGCAAAGCACTTATACCTCGATCTAATATTGGGAACCTCCAAAAATTTGCCAAGTAGCTCTATAAGTTTGTGAAGGATAAAGCCCTGCGATATGTCAATATGCAGGCTCCTCTCCAGGGACTCAACATTACCAACTTCTTGGGAAATTAACTTGCATATTGTAGTCAGACATCCCCGCACAGTCAAAAAAAGACGAGCATCTTCTGAGTCAATCATCTTAAAGAGCAATTCAAAATATTCTGTTGCATTTTCCCCAGCAGAAAGAGTAGCTGGTAACAATGACATAAGCAAGTTCAACAACCGAAATCGCCTTGATGAACTGTGGGCACATAGCAAACTAATCAGCATGCACATCTCAGACCTTATGGATTGAGAGCAAGCGCTCAATACGACTTCTGAAACCCAAGAGCCCAGCTCAAACGATGCTAACTCACTTTTAGCAGTCTTACAAGCACGCCGCTTCCATCTAAGAGCATATTTGAGAGCCAGGAAATCGAACCTTGGTGGCCGAGACTTCTGACCACCTTTGACTGCCTGAGACACTTTGTATTGCCGCCTAACAAAATCAAGATATGATGCTCCCTTTTCCCACTCCGAATAGCTTACCAACTGAATATCTTGAGTCTTTTGAGAGCCATCCCAACTCTTCTCCAATGACTCTAGTACAGATTTACTCCCACTGACAAGGCCACTTAAAGATCCAGGTGCATTCAAGTTGTTTTCATCCTTTAATGGTGACACTGGGGCAGCCTTTTCAATTCCTTGCTCTTTCTCTGCAGTATCTGGTTTTGGAGGAGTACATGCCTGAGATATAATCCTCAGACAAGGAAGAATAACATGCTCAGATATAGCAGGATGTTTGGCCCCCAATTTAATAGAAGAAAATAACAACTGGAAGACAACCCGCAGTCTAGACTCCCAAAATTCATCTGCCAAAGAACACACCTCTGACAGTAACAGCAACTCTTCACGGGTAGCCAAGGCAATCTCCATGGACCGATGATGTTCAAGACAATACATGACTTTCTTTTGTATTAAACAATTCAACTCAGCCACTGCATTCATATCACCTTCAGAGAAGGCACAAAGTGCTGCCCTGGCTTGAACACGAGCTGCCCTAGGACCTTGATGAATATTATTTTCAAACAACTCAGATAAGATGCCAGCAGCAACAAGTTGTTTCTTGGAGCTTGGGTGCTTTGATAGCACCTGTAACATCTCAAGACATTGTGTCGCAAACATAATAGCACAGCCATAGCAACTGTTTGGTGACCTAGAAACAACAAATCTTGAGGAGGCAACTGTATTATCAGACTGTTTCTGATGCAAGTAAGTCATCAAACCCTGTCTAAGCCCTTGAAGAGTCTGAACACTTTTGCTGACAGAATCAAAGGCTGCTTTGCATTTCTCACCATATAGGACACCAAGAAGAGCAATTTTACGGTTAATCTTACATGAAGGTCCAGGCAAAGAGACCATCATTTGCTGAACAGAATCCTTCTGTTGAGAGTCCATTTCATTCTCACCAATGCTGGATACAATCTTCAGCAAAGGTTTCTTGAAGCCCAAAAGTTGCTGATATCTCCTATGAGCATTTTCTGATTCAGATTCTATAGCAGCCAACCCTCTCTTCATATCATCATCATTCTCCATGTTATCAAAAGTGAAACTCGGTTTCGCCATGAAATTAAATTCAAAACGACCATATTTGCTATACCCACACTCATTGCATAAAAAGGAATCCAGATTCTCATAATTAATATTACGGCACTGCCTACACTGATAGGCATTCTCATGACAATTACCGCATATTCCATGCTTATCAGTTACAGGTCGATTGCAACGAGGGCACTGCAATGGTTCGAGGGATAAAGCTTGAAGATTTTCATAGAAAGAATCCAGCTCGATCATGAAGTTACATGCAGTGATTGGAATTGGAAAATCCACTTTTAGCTCAGTTTGATTGAAAGCAAGATGGCAGATCTTTGCACGCTTCCACAAGGACCAATTGTTCTTCATCTCCGAAAGGTCAGCCACCGGCCTGTTGTTATAGTAAAGGTTCAAGACTTTTACTGATTTGGACTTACGAGCATCATGAACATTCATGGTCACACTCTGGATGGTGTAGCTACCAGTGCATTTCACTATAATACGATTGTCAGTGAACTTTGTTTCTGATTTCAGAGTTTCTAGCTTCATCCTGCTGTAGGGTGCCTCAAGAGAGCTACAGGCAACACAAGGCTCACTCTCGAGATAATACCCATCAAATTCCACCAAACCACTCAAAGTGTTGTATATCCGTGAATTAGGATGATTAGCCAAAAGCTCATTTTGCGAGTGAAGTGTATCAAATATGCACTTTACCAAATCATGGGTCAAGCATCGGTCCACAATTTCTGAGTTCTGTTGCTTTGAATTATTGTGTGATACCTTCCCCAACAAGCAGGTGACAAGTTCTGTATACTCATTGGTATTCTGACCATACCTTGGCAAGCATTTCACTTTCTGTAGAAGGACCATCAACATGGTTTCCTTGCATGACTGTTTCCCATGATGCCAGACACCATAAAGAACGCACTTGGCTTCTGCACGAACAGAGCTTGAATTCCATTCCAGTAAAAAGCATTCAATGAACTGCCTCAAGACATCACCACCCTTGTCAGTGAAGACATTTACAGCTGACTCCATATCCACATAGGACTTCTCCAAACCAGATTCAGTTCCATCTTCTCCTTTCTTCTTCTTCTTCTTTATATCCATGGACTGTGTCCCTGATTTGTTTGAACTTGTCCCTGCATCTCCTCCTTCAGCTTTCTGTAACGACTGGCTAATGTCCTTCCCATTAAAGAACGCCACATTCAAAAGTTTAAGAGTCTGGATTACGCACTCTTCCCCGAAGTGGAATACTCCATTCATAAGGAAAGGCAAAACATCTCCATGCCTCAAACAATACTTCTGCCAGTTTCGAGGGCGCGCAGAAGCTACCTCGGCTATGGTTGACAGACACTTCACTATCTTAACAGTCCTCTCATATGACACAGTACTTTGAAAGCCACCAGATTTATCTCTCTGTTTGTAAAGCTTTTTAACTTCAGTGGAGAATTGCCAAGAGTCTCGAACACTGTAGTATTGTGTTTTGCTACCACAGAGATGCAGAAAAAGCCTCCTTGCATACCTTCTTACAAAAGTTGTGTGAGGATTATTGATATAACTGCATAGAACATCCTGAAATCCATCCATCTTTAAATCCTTCCCAGAAGGAAACTTGTAAAACTTCTCTTTCTCCCCGGCCTTGTCGTTCTTCTCTGGTCGAACCAAACTGTAAACCAATCGGAAAGCATTCTCCAATAACAGCCTATGGTAGTCCACAAATAAATCTGATCGATGTGACTTGGCATATGAATCTGAGAAAAAGGGCGAGAAATTACCCGCAGGTAGCTCCCTTCGAACTGTTAACAGGGACCCACACCCTGAACCAGTGTTTAGACCATGTGAGGTGTCAAAAGTAACAGCTGGGGACTTAAAAACATGCATCAACTGCTGGAGAATATCCATTAGATAATTAACAAAAGATTGCTGCCTAAGAGAACCACAAGCCCGTAGTAGATGGGAAACGAAATCATTTTTCTCCTGATCATCTAAGGTAGATGGGTTAGTGGAAGGTGGAAGCTGGCCAATGCTTCTGTCATGTGCATCCATTGTTCCACTTGATTTTACAGAACCATCACTTCCTGGCTGGTGCCAGTTCCGCAGCATCAAGGTAAAGAACATGAACACAAGGATCGTGACTTCCCCAACAGGAGAACGGCTTTTGGATGCAAACGATTTGTTGAGATTCAGCTCATCCAAAAACCATTTTATTAATCTCTCCAAATCCAACTTTGAGCTGTCAACAAAAGGTCCACCGACAGCAGATGACAGTCTGTAGAAGAGCTGCATAACAGGGATAGCCCGCACCCCAGAGGTGGTCTCCATCCATCCTTTCAACTGTTCAAGGAGCTCAGAAAGAAGTAAAGAATTTACAGCCCTTTTTGATGCAGAAATGGCAACAGGATCAACCACTGAGGCTGAAAACTCTCCAGATTCATTGGATTCCAACAGATGAATTGAAGGAGCAGAATTCTGCATGTTAACATCAGATGTGACAGTAAACAAGCTCGAATCGCTCAAATCATCTGCAGAGAAGCGAATTTCATGGCCCTCTCCACGCAATGTTTCCACTTCAATAGGGATTGCTGACATAGGATGATCCCTCGAATGTGGAGGAGGAAGGCGGTCTGCATCAAGCACTTCATAACAAGTCTCACAGAGATCAAAATCGGGGCAAACATTACAATGCCATCTCCGCCTAAGTATAGGAACAGTAGAGCAGCCATCACAACAATATTGAACAGATGAAGTAATCGAGTCTTCTTCAACCACCTGTGGATTTCCACCAGCAGCACTTGCAACATCAGCATGAACAGGAGCAGATGCAGCACTCTCCACCAAATCATCTGTACCTAACATAGTTTGCTTTGGAAATGGAACCTGGAGCAACCTTGAAGAGATAGCCAAGCTGGATACCAAAAGGGAGGAAGAAGAAAAAAGAGCTGAACTCCTGGAAACTGGATGACAAGAAGAAGAAAAGGCAGCTTAAGGGGTTACAGTTACCTGCTGGAAGTCTGGACAGCCTCATTGGAGGAGAACAATAATTTCTTTAATAATGAAACAGCAGGTGAAACAGAGCATCCCCCTGAGTCTTGCAAAGCCAAACACTCGGCATAACAGTAAATTAGTTCTACAGATGCTATAACGATGTTGTTCATAGTTTGAGTGTCGGGCTGCTCTATGTCCAGGATTCCCCACAGAACCTGCATGAGCCCATCAACCACTTCCGAACCTACATAAGTTGGGAAGAATAAGCAACAGAAACAAGAAGATAAATCTGAGAAATTGTTCCAATAAAAAGCAGAATGAAATGCTAGTTGATTCACTATTATGAAATCGATCTTCCCATGCGCCAAAAACCACTAAAACCGTAAAAATTTACAGCCAATAATGCAAGGCTCATAAAAGTAAAAAAAGCAAGCTGACGCACGATAACATCGACAAACATATCAGACAATGGGGTTAGAGAGAATAGCAAGAAAAGCTGCACTAAAAATTTGAACTTTGCAAGGATTGGACAAATAGACTAAGTTCATATACCAATGACACCTATCAGACTCACCAACTGTAACTTGACTAATTACAGGATCCTTATAGAAACAAACAACAAAGCCCAACCTAGGGCTTAAAGTGGGATATGCCCTTAAACTGGCAGCAAATCCAGTCTCTGTGGCATGCGAGTAAACTTATATCAGTGAACAATTTCTTCTAATAAAAAAGACAAGGTAACAAAGGCAATTGCAAAATTCTGGGTGAAAAGACAGAGAGATCATGGTTTAGGGTCGCGGTATCGGTCTTCGACTCGGAGTGCACTGATACACATCGGTCGTGGTATCGTAGCGCGGTATTGGCCGGTACATTCAAAATACTACATAGAAGGCCCAAAATTTTTTGAAAAAATCATGAAAAATTCTAAAATCTATAG